AGAAGGGTGGGGTATAGATGAACTAAATAAATAAATTCCAAGAAGAGCACCTGTTGTGGAAGCGGCAGCGGGGGGCGGCAGAGTGGGAGGGACCGGCCAAAAAGCCTTTGCCCAGAGGGCACGCTCTGTCCCCATCCCACCCCCTCTCTGCTTCCTTTCTACCTCTCCTGCTTGACCACTGGACGGGTGGGGCTGGTGGGAAAGCACTGCCCACAACCTGGGTTCCCCTTTGCTTAAGGGAGGGCCTGTGTCACCCCTTCCCGCTCTCCATAGGCAGATCATGAGCGGGAGCGCAGGGAGGGTTGCCTCCGTGCTTAGTTCTCGTGGCCCTTTCTTTTTTTATTATTCAATTTTTTTATTATTTTTAACATACACAATAACAATATATAACAGGTTGACTACAATCAAGAGAAAATAGTGCAAGAGGTATTTACATAGGTAAAGGTAAAGATAAAGGTTCCCTTGCTCGAAAGCCAGTCGAATCCGACTCTACGGTTGCAGTGCTCATCTCCGTTTCAAAGCCGAAGAGCCAGCGCACTCCGAAGACGTTTCTGTGGTCATGTGGCCAGCATGACTAAACACCAAGGCGCACGGAACGCTGTTCCCTTCCCACCGAAGTGGTACCTATTTATCTACTTGCAATTTCTTGCTTTCCAACTGCTAGGTTGGCAGGAGCGGGAACTAGAGACGGGAGCTCACCCCGTCTTGCGGCACCCGGGTCTTGAACTGCTGAAGTACTGACCTTCCACAGCCTGCACTTCAGCGTCTTAACCACTTGAGCCACCGCAGCTCCTTTTATTTACATAACAACTGTGGAAAGAACAGATTGCATGGCTGAATTGTACTTTAAGTCAGTGTTTTTTGCACAGGGGTCTCACTAATTTCAAAAATACAGTAGGTTTGTAAAGTGTTCGTTTCTTGGGATGATTTCACCTTCAGCAAGGTACTGGACTACGGGGAACCAAATTGCTTGGGATTTTTTTGCATTTTCTTGGGTTTGTTGATAAGTCATTTTTTCCATAGATAAAGTGTTCCCATAATTTGTTTTGCCAGTCAGATATGAGTGGGACGGCTTTCCCCTTCCACTTCTGTGCGATAGTTATTCTAGCTATTGCCAGTAGCGTCGAGATTAATCTCTTTTGTGTTTTCCTTTCACGGGTATCCGGAAGTACATCTAACAGGACCGTCTCAGGGAGAACAGGTAAGTCGAATCCTATGATGATATAAATTTGTGCCAGAATTTGAGTCCAGAATGCTTGAATGTACGGGCAAGCCCACCAGCAATGTAGAAAGTCGCCTATTTGGCCACAGCCTTTCCAGCAGCTTTTGTCATACTTTGAGTTGATCTGTGGCCCTTTCTTACACGCCCGGGGAAATGCCGATTGCCACTTTGGGGGTCAGGAAGCCATTGTCCTCTAGGCCGGTTTGGCCAGGGATCCTGGAGGTTTTCTGTCATCTTCTGGGCGTGGAACAGGGGTCACTGAGGGTGTGGAGGGGGAGGCATTTGTGAATTTCCTGCGTTGTGCCGGGGGTTGGACTAGATGACCCTGGAGGTCCCTTCCAACTCTGTGATTCTAAATTCTCCCAGCACTGCCCCTTTTGTGGCAAGGACGAGCTGCCTGGGTCAGCCACCAATGTTCCCTCTAAGCTGTGGAGTCTTGTGACCAAAAATTCTACTTGGTGAGCTCCTGGCATTAAAGTTGTGAGCCAGCGATTTGGCTGCTGCATCAGTTAGTTTGCTCTGGAGCTCTCCTTCCTGAGCTGAGGCCAAAATGTGTGAGCCAGAGACTAAAAAACTGTGAGCTTGCTCACACCAACTCAGCTTAGAGGGAACACTGGCCACCACGTCGGAGATGCATTAAAAACCCTAGCAGAGTTTTTCAGGGTTTTCTTAACAGGCTGTACTCAAGAGCAGGAAAAGGCACCAAAAGTGGCTGTCGGCGCGCGTGAAAGGGAAGGCATCCCCAAAGGAGGTGGATGTTGCATAAATATTAAGACAAAGAGATGGCGTTTCCCCTGAAGTCCAGCACCTTGAAATGGGCAGCTCTACACAGGCACACGGTGCCTGGAGCAGTTGCTGGCTGGCACTGGGAGACAGGAAAGCTGCAGCTATCAAAGTGGGACTTCAGCTGCGGGCCCTCAGCAAAGAGATCTCGGCTAAAGGCAAACAGGCAAGTGAGCATCAAAACAGGCTCCAAGCGGCCAGCCAAAGGAAAGCAATAAAGGGTTCCCCAATGCATCACACTCAACTTCTTCTCAGATCCAACAGACTGGTCCCGCTTTGTCCACCCCTGGCCCAAGGTCCCCAGCTGGGTGGGCCCGCATATCCCACTCGCGGAAGCCGCCTTGCTGACCGATGGCAGGGAAAGGCACGCTCCTCTTCCCGCAAGGCCCTGCCCCGCTGCATGTACTTGGGTGTGCCTGGTCAGCTGATCTGGCCACGAGCCAATCCAGAGGCCTGAATTTTACCTGGGAAATTGAGGGTAGGAAAGATTGGCCACTCCTTCCAGAACCTCTGTACAGCACATGGTCCTTTGAAGGAGGCCCAAACGCCGGAGAGGAAGGTTTTGGGGCACCTAAGAGAGTGGCTCAAGCGGTTAAGACGTTGAACTGCAGGCTGTGGAAGGTCGGTAGTTCAGGAGTTCAAGACCCGAGTGTGCCGCATGACGGAGTGAGCTCCCGTCTCTAGTTCCAGCTCCTGCCAACCTAGCAGTTCGAAAGCAAGACATTGCAAGTAGATAAATAGGGACCACTTCGGTGGGAAGGGAACAGCGTCCCGTGCGCCTTGGTGTTTGGTCATGCCGACCACATGACCACGGAAATGTCTTCGGACAGCGCTGGCTCTTCGGCTTGGAAACGGAGATGAGTACCGCAACCCTAGAGTCGGATTCGACAGGCTTTCGAGCAAGGGAACCTTCACCTTTTAAAGAGAGTCTCAGAGGGCAGCCATGTTGGCCTGCAGCACAAGAGTTCGATGTATCTAGTTCGAGACCAAGAAGAGTTTCAGGGTGTAAAGCTTGTGAGAGTCAAAAGCCCCCTTCACCAGACACTGAGGAAACATCGGACACAGATGGAGGGAGCTTCGGCTCTCAAAAGTTTGCACCCTGAAACTCTTGTTTGGTGTAGTGGTTAAGTGCGCGGACTCTACTCTGGGAGAACCGGGTTTGATTCCCCACTCCTCCCCTTGCACCTGGCTGACCTTGGGCAAGCCATAGTTCTGATTAGAGCTGTTCTTGAAAAGAGCGGTTTCTTCAGAGCTCCCTCAGCCCCGCCTACCTCACAGGGGGTCTATTGTGGGGAAGGGAAAGGAGATTGTAAGCCACTCTGAGACTCCTTCGGGTAGTGAAGTGCGGTGTATAAATCCAAATCTTCGTCTTGGTCTCTAAGGCTCTCCTGAAACCCAGCGTACTGTAGCTTCAGAGTAGGGCCCCAAGCAGCCAGGCCCAGCTGAGTCTTGCAAGTCAGATGGTCTCAAGCAACCCAGTTGCTTCCAGGCTCAGGGTTGCCAACTTCCAGGTATGACCTGGAGATCCCCCAGAAGGCCCCAAAGAGCTTAAAGCTCAGGAGATCAAAACTTACTGGCGATCCTTGGCCCAAAAGACATCCGGCTGTCCGTTTTGACCCTGACCCTAGGCCTGGTGGAACTCTCTACCTAGTAACATCCGTGCCCTGCGGGACCTTGCTCAGTTCCATAGGGCGTGTAAAATGCAGGTGTTCCGCCAGGCCTACAGTTCAGGACAGCAACAGTCCCTTATCATGGCTTTCACCCGGCCTGACCAATCCCAGTATGTGATCCACCTTATGGAGGGAGCAAAGTTATATGTACGCCATTGATTATCTGAAGGAATGTTTTATCCGTTTTAACCATTTATTATTTTCTATGTATTGCTGCGAGAGTTAGACTATAAGGAAGGCCGAGCGCCGAAGAATAGATTCTATTGAACTATGGTGCTGGAGAAGACTCTTGAGAGTCCCTTGGACTGCAAGGAGATCAAATCAGTCAATCCTAAAAGAAATCAACCCTGACTGTTCCCCGGAAGGCCAGTTACTGAAGCTGAAGCTCAAATACTTTGGCCACCAAATGAGAAGGGAGCACTCACTGGAGAAGACCCTGATGCTGGGAAAGACTGAAGGTCAAAGACGACGGGGACGGCAAAGGGTGAGATGGTTAGACAGTGTCATAGATGCAACGAACATGAAAATGAGCAAACTTCAGAGGACGGCGGAAGACAGGAGGGCCTGGCGGGATCTGGTCCATGGGGTCGCGAAGAGTCGGACTTGACTGTGCGACTGAACAACATTATTTATTGCTTTTAATTATGTTTGATTATGATGTACACTGCTCTGAGCCCTCCAGGGGAGGGTGGTTTATAACTTTAATAAAGAAGAGAAGAGGAGGAGATTGGATTTATACCCAAATAATAAATAATAATAATAACTGAACCCCACATAACAGAGATCTGTCCCCATGGAAAAAATGGCTGCTTTGTGGGGTAGACTCTATGGCATTATATCCAGCTGTGGCCTTCCCCCCTCCCTCCCCCCACAAATCCTGCCCTCCTTAGACTCCACCACAAAATCTCCAGGAATTTCCCAATCTGGAGATGACAACCGCAGGCCTGGCCTCAATAAGTCCTCCCTCAAAGGCCAAAGTAGACCTGGAAAGGGCCCTGCCTTTTCCTCACTGAAACCCAGGCCTGGAACCTGTGGTTACCTAGCAACAACCACGGAGGAAGTTTGTTGCTTAAAGCTGCAGGTGCTCCCCCTTTTTTAAAAAAATCATTTTCGCCTTTTTAAACCTCCGAATGGTTTTTGGGGTTTTTTTAGATTTCACATTTTTCTGCAAATCTGGGGCCCTTTCCAGGTTTGTACAAAGAGCTGTCTTGCCCCTTCACCAGATTTAAGTATCCAAAGATTTGGCCCAGTTTACTATTAGAATATAAGGTTGTGAGCGACAAAATGTCAGTAAGTTTCAAATCTTTTACAAGCCTCGTTCCTTGTTAAGGTAAATGTAGTATCTTTATTATCTGCTCCTAACCAAGCCTGAAAACACTGGTTACAAAATTCAGTGAAGAACACACAAAAGAAACAAGGTTTTTTTTAACTTTTTAAAAGAATGGCTAGAGAACTCTCCTTGCATAACATGAGCAGACAAGCAATTCAGAGTTGGCAGCAAGAAGTCCTGCTCGAGGAGTCATGAAGATTATTGCTCTTCCTGAATGGGGAAAGGACCTTCAGATTAGCCATCTGCACCCCCTGCGGCAACGCCAACGTGTGTTTACTGGCACTCGTTTTTCACCAGCCTGATCGTGTTCTGCCAAGGAACAACGACCACCTCAAAGGTGCAAGTTGTTGTCTGTGAACAGAAAAGAAAAGACCCTTAAATATGACAAGTGATCTCTCCATTGACAATGCAACAGCACCTTAAAATTATGAACATCTTAATGGTAGGTATTTCTAACCATCGACCTCTGACGCTAGTCAAAGATCAGCACTTTTTAATCAAATTGATTCCGAGGAGAGAGTTAGCAGACCTTGAGCAAGCTCAGACTGTGGCAGGATCGTCCCCACTGTTTTACGAGCATCTCATTTAACGCTGTGCAAGAACACACATCCACACCGATCCAAACCCTCTGAATAACCCCCCTTTCCTGGAAAACACTGTACACACAGCATGGATTCCATGAGCACAAGCCACTGGTCCCGCCCCCCCTCCAATGTAAAAACTCCACTGGAAGGAATGGGAATTCCACGACAGATGTATACAAATGTGGGGGTCAGCCGATCTCCTCCTATGCACAGAACTCTGTGAAGCTTCCCCATGCAAGGAGAGCCCCAGACACACTTCTTCACTGTCCACGAACCGAGCACACCGTGGAAGAAGAGAACTGTTGTATGCCCAGCCACCACTCCGGTGTCCCAGCATGCAATTCTGTCTCCCCCAAAGAGCATGTGGCCTACAAAGGGCAACAATGGCAGATATCCAGCAGCACTCTTAGTCTTGATTTTCACATTAAGTGCTGCACTACATTAGAAACCCTCTGTACTAGAATGACCTAGAAATAGAGGTCTGGGGGTAACGTAGTGCCCAAAGGCATCACGGCATTTTCCGACTCCTCTCCTGGTGCTGCGGTGGCTCAAGTGGTTAAGACATTGAACTGCAGGCTGTGGAAGGTCGGTAGTTCAGCAGTTCGAGACCCGGGTTGCCACATGACGGAGGGAGCTCCCGTCTCTAGTTCCAGCTCCTGCCAACCTAGCCGTTCGAAAGCAAGAAATTGCAAGTAGATAAAGAGGGACCGCTTCGGTGGGAAGGGAACAGCGTTCCGTGCGCCTTGGTGTTTAGTCATGCCGGCCACATGACCACGGAAACGTCTTCAGACAGCGCTGGCTCTTCAGCTTTGAAACGGAGACGAGCACCGCAACCCTAGAGTCGGACTCGACTGGCTTTCGAGCAAGGGAACCTTTACCTTTTACTCCTGGTGCCCACCGGGTGTTTTTAGAAAGTGGGAAGCGCCAAGTGGGGCTCTGCCTCTTGTGGTAGTGATTTTGTGGTTGTTTCCACCACTCCATGTCAGAATTCCAAAGGTGCCCTGTGGGCTTGAAATGGTTGGGGACCAATGTTCCCTCTAAGCTGTGGAGTCTTGTGAGCAAAAATTCTACTTTGTGAGCTACTGGCCTTAAAGTTGGGAGTGAGCACTTTGGCTACTGCATAAATTAGTTTGCTCTGGAGCCCTCCTTCCTGAGCTAGGACAAAAATGTGTGAGCTGGAGGCTAACAAACTGTGAGCTGGCTCACACTAACTCAGCTTAGAGGGAACACTGTTGGGGACCCCCGGGTCTAGTGTTCTGGGAACACGCTTCAGTTCTATGACAGGATAGCAAAACCATCAGGATGGACTATGTGCAGTGTTCCCTCTAAGCTGAGTGAGTGTGAGCTAGCTCACAGTTTTTTAGCCTCTGGCTCACAGATTTTTTTTGCTTAGCTCAGGAAGGAGGGCTCCAGAGCAAACTAATTTCTGCAGCAGCCAAATCGCCCGCTCACAACTTTAATGCCAGCAGCTCACAAGGTAGAATTTTTGCTCACAGGACCCCACAGTTTAGTGGGAGCATTGGTTAGTGGGGTCTATATCCACCCAGCTTTCAGTTAAGAGTAAGCAACATCTGCAAGAAGCAGCCTTCAAGGGGCGGCAAGAGGAAAGGCTGGTCAGGAGGGACAGTGGAGTCGAGTGGCTTCCTTTCCTGGTAAGCGTCATTCCTTGTCCTTCTCATGTGTATGGGGGGGGGGGGCTTGTGCACTGAAGAGTTCAGAATCGGAAGAACACAGACACGTCTATAACTTGCATCTCCTTCAGGATGCCCTGACGCCAAAGTCCAGTGCATTTCGAATCAGTGGTGGACATCGGGATTCACCTACCAGAATCGTGATGTGCAGCGACTGATTTTCCCTACAGGAGCAAACAGTGAGTCTCCTTCAGTATGAGCAGCAGCGGACGTTAGTACACAAGGGCACCAGTGGGGTTCAGGGGAAACCTGCTCCCCACTCCAGGGGACCCCTGGCCACTGGGAGGTCCAATCACCCTGGAATGGCCTACAGAGTCCCATCTTAGGTTTGGTTCCTCGGGCCAGGTTTTCAAATGTCGGTGGGAAGAACTTACCTGTGCAGCTTTGCAAACACCCCAGCATCTTGCTTAAACTGGGCCACCGTGCGTGCTGTCCTGCCAGGGCTACGAGCAATGCTCCCTCCCAAGCTGTGGAGTCTTGTGAGCAAAAATCCTACTTTGTGAGCTGCTGGCCTTAAAGTTGTGAGCGAGTGGTTTGGCTGCTGCATAAATTAGTTTGCTCTGGAGGAGCCCTCCTTCCTGAGCCAAGATGAAGATCTGTGCGCTGGAGGCTAGAAAATTGTAAACTGGCTCACACTGGCTCAGCTTAGAGGGAACGCTGGCCACAAATAGGGCTGGCCAGCCTCCAGGTAGAACCTGAGGAGGGCAGGATTTGCGGAGGGGAGGGTACAGTGCCACAGAGTCCACCTTCCAGAGCAGCCGATTTCTCCAGGGGAACCGATCCCGGACACCTGGAGATCAACTGTACCAGTGGGAGATCTCCAGGTGCTACCTGGAGGTTGGCAAGCCAAGGCTCTAGGCTGTGGGCAGCCTGGCTACCGTAGCCCTTGATCCACAGAAAATGACTTGACTGCAAGGTTGTTGTGACTAGCCTGTGCCATGGATTCCTGTGGGGCTCAGCTGCACCCAAGGGTGTCCGTAACAGGGCCGTTGTTTCCCTGTCCTCTCTGTCCCCCAAGCACACG